GAAAAGAGAGGGGGGGAGGGAGGATTTGGGAGAGAAGGGGGAAAATCGGGTCTGGGGGGGGGGAAGAGAGTTTTATCGGGCGCGGGCAGCCCAAATTTTTTGGGCGCCCGCGCCCAAAAAATTTCCCTATCGAAAACTTTAGCGACGGCAATATCCGTCGCTAAAGAAGTTATTAGCGACGGATTTGTCCGTCGCTGAATATTCCGTTGCTAAAGAATTTAGCGACGAGAAAGGGGGGCGGCGGCGGTGGAGATCGCCGGAAAAGAGAGGGGGGGAGGGAGGATTCGGGAGAGAAGGGGGGAAATCGGGTCTGGGGGGGAAGAGAGTTTTATCGGGCGCGGGCAGCCCAAATTTTTTGGGCGCCCGCGCCCAAAAAATTTCCCTATCGAAAACTTTAGCGACGGCAATATCCGTCGCTAAAGAAGTTATTAGCGACGGATTTGTCCGTCGCTGAATATTCCGTTGCTAAAGAATTTAGCGACGACAAATATCCGTCGCTAAATTGTGGTTATCCGTCGGTAAAATAGTTTCACCTACGGAATAATAGCGACGGATATTTCCGTCGCTAATACTATAGTTATAGCGACGGAAATATCCGTCGCTATTAGCCCGTAGGTGAAATGCTGTTTTCTAGCAGTGAACACTTATATTGCGACTATAAAGTAAGTTTAGTTTAGTTGAATTCTTTTATTTTTCAGGTTGTGATTTCGCATGTGATTTTTTTTAATTTTTTAATATGATTCTGATTTGGTTCAGAAGAAGCGTTTGTCTTCTTTCCCGCGCAAAATCGCTCGATTTGTCGATTGAATCCGGTTAAGGTCACCACTAATCTCACCAGAGGCCCGGTATACCTTTCCTCAATTTTAATTTTAATTTTTTTACTTTTTTTCTTCCGATGAAATTGTTGATAGCACCCTAAAAATGGGAGCTATTTTGTCTGTATATTGGAACTTAGCTGTAGGATAAATTAGGTCTGCTGTGGCTGTGATTGAATGCCAGTTTGTAAGCTAGGTCATTGAGCGCAGGGAAAACTCTAGGGTCCATAGATTCTATTTATTTAGTTGATACGTGCAAATGATTTCCCTTAGATGACTAGAAATTATGAATTAATTGCTATATCAATTCTGTTTTGATCAATCTAATATCAATTGTGTAACCAATAGATTGAAGATATGAATATGTTCTGTAACCATTACTTGAGAAAACCTGTATATCGTGTAATTATGTATGTTGTGAAAATCTGTTTTGCATTAACCAATAACCATTACTTGAGAAAACCTGTTCAGTAGTCCTCTTAGCAATAATTTGACTACATTTTTTATTACATGTAGGGATTTTTTTAAAATATATTTTTCCCCTAAGAAAAACACATTATGGTATTTTGAGGCTTTGGGTTTGCTTTTCTCTTAATTCTCCTTGGCTGCAGGGTAGTCCACGGAAAAGGGAATGCTTAACATTAGTTAGTTACCAGAAGAATGTCCAACAGAAAAAAAAAGGTGTAAAATTTAAGCTATTTTCTCATCCAATTCACAGAAAGTTTCGCTGTTCAAGAATATTTAAACATAACTGAAGATAGGAATGTAGGATATAACAGCAGTCATACTAAACATGATTGTACAATCGTACTAAACATTATACATATTTTAGTGATCAATTTTCAACAACCTCACTGCATTGCACACTAAACTACTCTAAATGCAGAAGACTGGACATTATTATAAGAAACATACTATACAATCTTTTCAAATGCTGTAAACAATCATGAGGTGCCTTCATATATTAGATAATTTATATGTGGGTCTACTTAAAAAATTTAAACTTAAAAGTTTATTTGGCATTACATTTAAAGAAATGTCCTCAACGAGGGGTTCAAAGATAAGACATGCAAAGAGATAATATTTTCAATTTGTTGTATGTAAACTGAAACATACAGAATGATGGCTGATTTTAAAGACTTGAAACAGACATTCAAACATGCGGAGAAATTAATCTGACATGAAATGAAATTATACAAGGTACCTCAGGCTCATCTTGTTTCTCTTGGGAGGAAATATCAGATGGGACATGCAAGTCAATCGAGAAATGCATATATTAGTTTACCTTTATGATTACTGCACTTGTATACTGTGATAACGTTGCTAGAGGCTAAAGTATCAAGCTGTAATTTTTGGAATAAGAGAGGTCGCCAAAAGCTTTCATCAGATAATAAAGTTCAATCAAGAGATAAGCGGGCTAAAAATGAATAGAGATTTAAATATGCAATTTAGCATGCCCTATGTACATGCAGAAGGAGCATAATGGTAACTGATCTAGCATTATGCCTTATCCCACAAATTCCAGGGTCAGCTATATTATCGTTGCTATGATTTCTATCAAGTGATATATTTGCCTTACTAAGCTCTTGGCACAGATATCCCTAGCTCTATCGCATATCTCTATAAAGAGACCGCATTTAATTAGCTTGATTTAGAATCAAGAACCAAACATGGAAAGCTGTAGATTAATGATGAAGGTTAGGTTATTATACCCCACATGTTGGAAGGCCTCCAGCGCTTAAGAAGCCAAAGGCTAAAGACCCTCATAAGAGGGATATGACGTTTGAAGAGAAGCAAAAGCTGAGCAATAATTTGCAAAATCTTCCTCTAGAGAAACTGGATAATGTGGTGCAGATTATCAAGAAGAGGAACTCATCACTGAGTCAGCATGATGATGAGATTGTGGTAGATATAGATAGTGTTGATACTGAGACTCTTTGGGAGCTGGATAGGTTTGTTACCAATTATAAGAAGAGTCTAAGCAAGAACAAGAGGAAGCCAAAGCTTGGTGAGCTTGCACTTCAGTAAAGGTCGGACAATCAGCAACATGAAGGGCAAGAAATGGTACAGGAAAGGGTATGACAATTGAATGATATTTTATAAGAGGTCTTCTTTTTGTACAGTTACTTAGATTTACATTTTCCTCATTTGAGCAGAATTCTGATGCTGTAGTTGCAGAAGTGCCAACAGAGAGCAAGACAGGTAACTTAATTTCACTTGCCTGATATTGTTGTACTTTTTCCTAATATCTTGCTATTTGTTGTTAACCCATATCATGGAATGTGTGGTTAAATTTAATTTGTGAAAATAGTGGTTGATGTAAAGCAAACGGCTTCCTCTCCACTACAAGCAGGTGAAAAGAAGGGAGATAATGCAAGTAGGTCAAGTAGTTCGAGCAGCTCGGGTAATGAGAAAATTTGCTATGAATTGATTTATTAATTTAAATATTAATGTTTAATTATGTTTATGGTTTATTGTAATGTATAGGAGATTCCATGTTTTGCTCAAATATGTGCCTTGTATCAGTTTCAGAACTGATAAGGAAGCTTTCAAGGTACAGAAAAAACCCTAAATTTATCTAATATAAAAGTTTATAATCACATAGCAAAATATATTTTGATCTTGTCCCAGATAATATCTGAGACAACCCGAGTATCAAAATTTACAGATAATTTCCTTACTTTGACCAGAAAAAAGGTTCATCAAAACGGAGTATCTAAGTTAAATCCCTGTCTTACTTGCTTTATGTGCCAGTTTATTTGTTTGACTTCCGAGGACTCTCCATTTCCAGTTTAATTAGTACTATGGACTTAATATAATTAATTTGGTTATAATTTAGGTTCTGGTTTCACCTGTCAATGGCATACTTGTTCACCATATGGACTTGCTACGTCCTTTACAAGGAGTATGGTCATATAACCTTCATGAGATTGCATTTTCTCCTGTTGCTTCTTCATCAGCGATTTGACGGGTTCAGATAGATAGCTGAGAGCTACAAAGATTTTGAATTTCTATTGGAAACCCTAAACAAAGATTTCGATTATCTTGCTTCACAAAACCCTAATTTTTATTTTCTAAAACAAAGTTCCCAATTAAATTTTGCTAAAAGCTATCGTCTTGATAAGTAAGGAGAAATCTTTGCTAGAATAAGAAGTCTTTGCGGCCATCTTGAATTGGTTACTCTCTGGTTGGCAGCATTATTCCCCATTTTCTCAATTAAATTTAAATATGATGTTTTCTATATGATTAAGTATATTTGCTAGCTAATACATCTGAATATCTATACTTGTCATTTTTCTCTGTGGAGCTATATAATTTCAATAAATTGTAGTATTTTCCACATGATGCTGAAAAAAAAAAGAAGGTATTTTGTGGGTTTAGAGTGTAAAAAAGCTTTACGGAACAAAATGTTGAGAAACCAACGGGTGCAAGAAATGCAAGAAATGAATATTATATAGCAGAAAAGAGAACACTGTGATGGCCTTGTGGATATACATTAAAAAGATAGAATAAGAAATGAGTGCATCATTGGAGATTACATATTGGTTATATTGAGGACAAAAAAAGAGTCAATTGAGATGGTTTTGTCTTGTACAAGAGACGTCAATGCACCAATTAGGAGAAGTGAGAACATTATAGACTTAAAAGAACTTGGTTAGAAGCAATTAAGAAGGATATGAAAAATATTTACTTAATGAAAGAGATGACCCATAATAGAAATGAACGATAGAATATGATTCATGTAGTCGACTCCAAATTTTTAGGACAAGGGCTTTGTTGTTGTTGGTTTATAGTGAAAAAAGCTTTAAATAACTTGCTGAGGCTTTATGCTCCCATATATGTCATAAAATGATATTTGTTTCTGATCTTTTTCTTCCTTTTTCTTTCTTATTATTATAGGAATTGAGTATAAGGCCATCAAAAGTAGAGATATTTGAAGTCCTTGATCAAGATAACTTTTGTGTTGGATTGAGTTTAGTTCATCCCACTGGCAATAATTAGTTTATGATCTACTTATATCAGCATTCATCAAATTCTCGTGGAGGTAATGACTATGCCCCGAGTTAAACATATGTGTTTGCCCCTAATGAATGTGGTGCGCATGAAATCAATGCCTATTTTACAACTTCTTCAACTAAAAGAAAGGCTTCTGAGAACTTCTTCAGATAACTGGTTCATTGTTAATGACGGAACAATTCACCCTGCTATAGTCATGGGCTTATCTGGGTAAATCTCTATCTGATACTTTATTTGTTCTTATACCTTATTCGCTTAATCATAGCCCAAAATAGTAAAATGGTATTAACAAGTACCAGCAATATGTGATATCAGGAAGCTTTCAGAACTTGTTGAACTTAAACATGTGCTTCATGATAGCATTCCTGTTATTAAGAGGTTCACTGGAGGAGGAACCGTGATTGTTGATGATAGGACGATTTTTGCTGCTCTTATTTGTAATAAGGTTGATGTTCCAAGGGTTCAGCTATATCCTCGCCCTATTATGTCTTGGACAGGCAAGTTGTATGAGGAAGTTTTTTGTGGGTTTGGTAACTTCCATCTCTGTGAAAATGGTATGTTGATCAGATAATGTCATCTGAGAACTTTTTTCTTCATTATTATTATGATTTCATTGTGCAGCATATTTACTTCATCTGATTGACCATATGTAGTAAGTTACACTATTGTTCAGGTGCAATTGTATGCTTTGCAGTTTATATTAATAGAAATGAATTTACACTGCGCAAATTTCTTAAGAACAGAGATACTGCATTATTGTAGCCTTTCAAGACAGTATTATAGAATTATTGAGTCAAGTCAGCGGTGCTTATCTACTATGCATGTACGATGATCATGTACATATCCAAAGCACTCATACCATATAGCTATTAGTCGGTCATAAAGTTTACCTCGCTCATTGAATAAAGATTTCTGAATCCTATTTTGTATAGTGTTCAAGAGCTAATGCTAACTCCATTGCAAGAACTGCTTGAAAATTCCTTTTGAAAAAGTTATGTTTTCTGTATGCCCTAACTTATGTAGTAAGTTTAGATATGTTTCTTTTCCTAGAGGATTTGTTGATTATGGTCAGCGAACTTTATTTTTTGTTCAACAATCAATATCTTTGCTGATTAAGTTTTTTCAACAATTTCATTTCTAGATTAGCATCTAATATCCTTGGACATCTAATGACCTGATTTCATAAGGATAATGGAAGTGTACAAAAGAATATGTATATACAAACATTAACAGGAAACTGCCCTCATAATGTCTTATGGCACATCGAGTTGAAGCACAATTGTTGCATTCTTTCAAAACAACCCAACAAATTGCAGGGACCAATCTATTTCAATTTTTTCTTCTGTAATGGGGAATGTGTTCGCGTATCAAAAAACTAAGATTTTCTATGAGATTGGAATTCATTCTCTCTCTATGCTGCTTTCTCTCTCTCCTCACTCTCTCTCTCTCTCTCTCTCTCTCTCTCTCTCCGCCCTCTCAAGAAAGTAATAATCGGCAAACCGAAACCAAAAGCGATTCCTTCCCTCTTTATCATCAATCTTTTGAAACCCTAAAGGCCCAACTGAATAAATCCTAAAGGTGAGACCTTTTCTGAGTTTATCATCAATCTTTTGAAACCCTAAAGGCCCAACTGAATAAATCCTAAAGGTGAGACCTTTTCTGAGTTCTCCTTTGCTCCAGTTTGAACTCACAAAGGTGGGACCTTTTTGAGTTTTTTTTTTACCTTTTCTGAGTTCTCCTTTGCTCCAGTTTGAACTCACAAAGGTGGGACCTTTTTGAGTTTTTTTTTTTTTTTGAAATTTTGAATCGCATAGTTGAGAAATTCTCTTGGTTTTGTTTTTTCTGCAGATTTTTATTGGGATTTTGTGAGGGATGAAGATATCATTATCATCTTGTGTAAGTTTCTTCTTTTTTTTAATTTATTGGGATGATGATCAGAAACGTTTGAAGTTTAATTTTAAAAAAGATGGGATTTTGGGACTAAATTTAGTGAACACAAATGATGAGTTAAGTGATTGTTTTGATTATTGCATTTTCCTTGTAGATGAACTCCTGTAGAAAATTGATTTCTGGAATTCTTCACCCTATTGTTTGTAGTTGATTGTTAGAATGTAGAATTGATTTCTGGAATCCCACCACAACTCGGAGTTTTGGTGTGGTGGAAGGGGCCTTTTAAAATGATAATACAACTACAGGAGAGAGTGATAATCCAGAATGTTTTAGTACAAGATGTAAATGTTTTTATGATTTCTATGTAATGGAATCTGGTTTTGTTGCAAATTCCTATTTTTAAGTTGACCCAGATTGTTGGTGAATGGGAGCAATAACATGTAACGGAGTCATTAAAGTATTTCTTTTCCCCCCCTCAAAAGGTAATGAAATCAACGTGGTTACTTTGCATTTGAACTTTTGAAACTTTCTTCAACTGCCAACCTCCTTCAAGTATGATGTTTTAGAGAACTTGTGAATTGCAGAATAGTTCCATCCACTTCATCGATTCATTGGGACTTGCATCATGACAAATTCTCATAAACCCAATATTCTTCCATCTATCCATCTCTTGCATGCATTAAACTTCATTAACGGAATATCTATTTAAATTATTATGAACTGTTGCTGAAACCTTAAATCCTTGTTCATATGACTCTCTATTTAACTTTGATGGGGAAAAATTCTCAAGGAAAACTTTGTGAAGTTTGGCTGTGAATCATACTGTGAGTCCTAATTTGCTAATTTCGTTATGTTTTAACGATAATTGAAGGTTCACTCATTTCCAGATGATGTAGCAATGGACCTTATTGAAGAAGAGCTTGGTCAGCCTTGGCATAAGATTTATTCTGAGCTTACTCCTTCACCAATTGCTGCTGGTAATTCCATTTGATGTTCAGTGACTTCTTTTTGGACTGTCTGATAGGCTGTTAAGTAGTCTGACATGCAAATCTAGCTGTGCTTTTCCACAACATTCATTAACTTTATTCCATAATCAATTGATTATTTTAATGCCGGTATATGGAAATTATGCAGCATCCTTGGGACAAGTGTACAAGGGTAGGCTAAAAGAGAATGGTGATTTGGTATCTATTAAAGTACAAAGACCATTTGTTCTTGAGACCATGACAATAGATCTATTTATTATCAGGAAACTGGGATTAATATTGCGAAGGTTCCCACAGGTAATTTATCATCTGCTTATTCTGAACGTTTGAAGCTGCACGTTCATTACTATAACTTGGATTGATTCAAACGTTACAGATTTCCATAGATGTTGTTGGGTTAGTAGATGAATAGGCTGCCCGCTTTTTCGAGGAGCTTAATTATGTGAATGAAGTAGAAAATGTAATTATCTTTGCAAAAATGATGAAGAAATACCTTCCGCAGGTAGTTGTCAACCTTTTTCTTAACTGTGATATCCAGTACCACCTATCAGATTGTTCAAGAAGCATTAATAACAATATATAATTTAATAAAATATTTTAATATCTAATCAAGACTGCATCTAATGCGTCAATGTCAAACAATAAAGCACATCTCAACTGTCACAATGTTCATGTCTTATCCTATAAATTCCCGGCCACAATCACATACATGTTTGTGTGTGTGGGGGTCTGCGCGCGTGGGGGAAGTGGGGGTTGGGGGTTGTTGTTATTTTGACCTATGCAGGATCTCCTTCAACTATTGCTGACAGAAAAGATACACTTAGGAGCTGAGCTAAATTAAATTTATCGTCCATGCCATGATTCTTTGTTTGCCTCCAATAAATCAAATCAATAATTCATAATCACACCTACAAGATTGTTTTTGTGAAACTTTCAAATTTTAGGTTATCTGATGGTCCTCTCAGACTTCATAGTTTTTATGGAGGAAACTTGTTTGGCTCTGATTTGCCTGCCTAGAAAGTGTTTTGTTTAGAACAGAAATAACTAAAATCAAGACCTCAAAATCTAAAGGAGGTCTTCTATTCCAACTTGTAGGCTTCTTATCAATTTTCTTAAACATTCACTCGCCAATCTTAATATGACCATTGTATATACATTAATAGAAAATGTCTGAATGCAAGTTCTTCCCTATCACATTTGAAACATTTTCCTTTTATTCAATACATGTGCAAATTTAGATTAACCCTTCATTTGTATGGGTATAGATACTACATTGGTTTTTTTAACTATCCTTTTGTTTATGTTTGTTTGCTGTCAGGGGTTCTTCTACGGGGAGAGGTACCCAATCTAAAGGCTGCATCGATTCAGCTATGCACTCACATTGCCAGGGATTGGTTTTACAGTGAAGATAAGGAACATAGCAATAAAGTGATTGTTCCAGGATTGTCTAACTGTGGACAACTTTGGTGATCAATTGCTTGCGGTTTTTACGTTTTGTTTTTGCATGTAACATGTGCCTTATCTTCCCAGTGAACTTGTGACTTGGAAAATTCTTTCATGCTTCTCTTTTCATTCCTTTACCCAATTAACTAATGTGATGTTGAATATTAGTTATTTGCATCTAAGATCAACTAACTTTTTTCTTTATTGTGTGGTCACTTTTATCACATGCAAGATGCAACTTATATATATGGTTGATTAGGTTTCTTCACTATGAAGAATATTCTAATTACTCCTGTGAGATAATGTTTAATTGACATTCATCTTGTGTATTGCGTATAAGTTCAATGCATAATTATGAAAACATACTCTTGTAGTTTCTAAATATGTATCACGTGCAATGTATGTATCCATATGTTTGATATATGGTTTAAATTAAATAAATCTTAATGAAATGAATCAATAACAAAAGAATAAATGAAAAAATTTACCACGTGCATTGCACGTGCAATCCAACTAGTATGGTTAAAAGTACGAGAAAACCAGCAAGGAAACACGTCTATTTCAAGTGTTGTTTCGGTCTCATGGATTTGTTAGGGAATTCAAGGACTTCATCAACTCAAAATATGGTTTTTCGATAGAAGACCTTTTTGAAGGCCGGGGATAAAAACAAAAAAAACAGAGCAGAACATGTTGGTCACGTTAACAGAAGTAGCATCAGAAATCCTTTATATATATAATAGTTTGGAAACGAAGCTAACAGATTCAGGATTCAAAAGGGTTACTGCATTCTGATATGTACGGAAGAATATTTGATTGTGATTCAAACTAGCAAACGGATACTGCAATGTGAAGGATGAATATGATTTACTCCGAAAATTATGAGGCGGACATGATTTGTCAATATCTCAAATGTCAATTTAAGGGAGTTCTTCTTCTTCTTTTTTTTTAATGAAACAATTTAAAAGAGTTAAATTGTCAGTTTAAGGTCACTATAAAAGCATTTTCTAGGTGCAGAGATGTCAAGTAACAAGTTTGGTATGACTGCTTCAATATTAGCGAGTAAACCGAACTCCAATTTGCTATTATTCCATGAGAAGTGTTTAATATTACTCTCAGATCGAACTGTGCACTCGCAATCAGTAGGAAAACGTAGGCAGCAAACCTCACGAAAATTAGGCTAGTTAATTAGCATGAACATTATTACAAAGTGAAATCATGCATGAGATGTGATCAGGAAAGTTGAGAAGAAAAAACTTGGAATAGGAGAGAGTCGACAATCACTAACTAGTAAATTCGTAATGTTGCTAATTATGTGCCTTTCCCTAATAAAAAGTGACTGACTATCAAACTATGCTTTTTGAGATGACTAATGGAAATAGCATAATAGTTTGGAAATAAGAAATTGATATACATTATACTTCAGGAACAAGGGCTGATTTATTCAAATAACCCTTAAAAATTTTGGCCGTGATCATTTACTCGCGCTTTTGGCTAGATTTAAAATCACAATCGAAATGACCGTCATTGTCGATGAATTGAAATATTGAAAGTTGACAAGATCAATTGAACAAAGAAGATCCAGATACTTTTTTTAAAAAAGTAAGCCCCGGACGTTGAACGAAACACTTATTGTCGACTACTACATCCTAGAGCTTCCACTCTCAGCAATCTTGATGCCAAAGCGATATCGAACAGTATAGTATTAGCAATTAGATCTTTTTCTGCCCAAACAAAGTTATCTTCCTGTTATTTTGCGATTCACTTGGCTAAGAATTCCGCATTTCATTCTAGAACGAAGCATATTGCGCTTCGGTACCACTTCATTAGATCCCTGTTGGAAGATGACGTGTTGAAACTGGAGAAGATTCCAGGAAGTAAGAATCCAGCAGATATGTTAACAAAGGCAGTGATCATTCAAAAACTGGAGTTGTGCGCAACTTCAGCTGGCCTTCATGCATAAGTGATGAGGGCGGAGCCACACAGGAGGAGGAGCTTGATGAGATAGTCTGCTGACGGCGGTTTGATCTCCAAGTGGGAGATTGTTGGAATTGGGGTGTAAATCAAACCTCGATTCTGGCGAGAAGCTTCAGGCGAGTCGACGAGTTGCAGGCGAGCACAGGGTCTTCAGGCGGATCTTGAGCAGGCGAGCTCGAGGTCAGGATTAGGCGAGTTCGAGGGCGAGATCTGTAGGCGAGCTCGAGCGGCTCCTTGCTGGCGAGGCCGCCCGCAGGAGAAAATGTTGCAGGCGAGATTGTGGCTCGCCCGCAGGCGAGGTTGGGCACCCGCTCGGCTGGCGACCTCTCTCTCTCTCTCTCTCTCTCTCTCTCTCTCTCTCTCTCTCTCTCTCTCTCTCTCTCTCTCTCTCTCTCTCTCTCTCTCTCTCACCCCCCCCCCCTCTCTCTCTCTCTCTCTCTCTCTCTCTCTCTTTCTGTTCTCCTGTTCTCACATGATTGGGAAGGGATTTAAAGCAAGAAATTTATTGTAGAGGGAATTAAGAGGGGTATAAAGAAGAGGGGAATCTTCACTGTAGCTACAGTGAAGATTGTATTTATTGATGAATCTCAAGTTTGAGATTCGCTCTTGAATTGTAATTTCTTGTTAGATTAATAAGAAACTTACTATGTGGCTCCCGAGGACATAGGCAGTTGCCGAACCTCGTTAAATCTTGGTGTATTTTTTCTATTCTGCGTTTCTGCTGTCTTAGGGGTTTTGCGTAGCCCCGGCGGGTAAATTCCCAACACCTCAAATCATTGAAATTACTATTAGTATTGTTAGTAGTTTTTATTTTGATATTTTTTGCAATTTCAGCAAAATTACCAGTAGTTACTCAAAAAAAGGAAAGAAAAGAAAAAACGACGTACTGCTAGGAATGTTTGATGATCCTGTCCCTTTCCCTCTGAAAAGCAGACACCGATGATTATGTAGTGGTCCCTCCACTATTTTTTTTATAGTGGAGAGGATCCGAATCCATTAAAAGGATTTGGATCCTCTCCACTACAAAAAAGTAGTGGAGAGACCACTACTTTTAATCTCAAGCGTTGATTATTTAGTAGGCGGTTATGATACAATCTAAATCTAACACTTACCATACCCCCGTGTATTGCACTCATTCCTAATTTGCACTAAAAGAAAAAATCATAACCATCAACTAGATAATCAATGGTTATGATTATGTAGTGGTCCCTCCACTATTTTTTTTTGTAGTGGAGAGGATCTGAATCCTAATTAAAATACCTCCTTTGGACATACATATATATCTAATGATTTGGAAACAAAAAAAAAAATCAATGACGTACATGAATACTAGCTAAGCAGGGGCTAATTTGGAAATAGATAATCGATGACTTAATGAACATTAGATGAGCAGGTAATCAAAACACGTACAGCAGGAGGTACAAGAATTTTGATGCTGCAACAAGAATGTGATTCATCATCCATCCACCTCCTTGACTAGGCAGATGAAATAACGATACTCGCTAGCATAGTTCCCCATGCAACCTTAAGTTATATTCAAGCAGAACCCAAGTTTGTATTACTTCAGTTTGTATGGGGAAAGCAACAAGACTCGCTTGAAGCAGTAAAGCAAATTCATGGTTGTCTTGCCTCCTACGTCCTTCCTTTGGTGGACCTATTCCTTTGCAATCCGTAGGATTGTCAATCTTAAGCTCTTAGTAGAAATCAGGAAGGCTGTGTTTGGTTTGAGAGGAAGGGGGAGAAAACAAAAAGAAAGAGAAAGTAAAAAAGAAGGGAAAAATGTTTCAAGGCCCCAAAACAAAAAAGCGGATGTGGCCCAGCCCCCCCAATTAACTGCCTTAGCCTTCAGCCCCAAAAAATTGTAAAAATTGTGGCCCAGACCCAAAAGCCCATACGTATACATCAAGTGGGTGTATTTTGTTGCTTCCTCCCGAAAATGCCCTCATCTCTCTCAAAGAAAACCGGCTGAATGGGTTCTCTTGTTCGGTGATCTCTCCCAACGCATTTATGACGAAGTGACGGGGGAAAGCGGGGGGAAAAAGCGCGGGCTCCCGCCATTATTGTCTGCTTCATCATCCTTTGTTATAAATTGGTTAGTTTTATCTCTCACTCTCTCATTAATGAAATTAGGGTTTTTTTCAACTGTTTACAGCCCTTTTGCACCTGAAATCCCCTCAATTACTCCTCAACTCGTCATAATTGCCTTCATAACTGTCCTCATAACTTTCAACCACCCCTAATGGCCGTCAATGACTTGATTTGCATGGTTTCTTTAGGCGAGAATGCCATATTCGTGAAGCTAAGTTCGACAACAAGCTTTGATGAACTCCAATTTGATGTGTCTGAAAGATTGAAAGTACCTAAAGAAGCTTTATCCTTTATATTTAAATCTGAGAGGCACCCCAACCTCAGTTTTTCAGTTGACAACGATGATGATTTGAAGTGCATGTTGGAGCACAATCGAAATATTGGTTGTACGGAGATTCACATGCAAGCTGCTGTTAATGTAGAGTGTTCCACTTCAAGGAAAAATCAGATTAGGGAAATGTAAGTAATTAATGAACTCTTTATAACATTGGGTTTTGTGTGATGTAAACATTGTTATTTTTTTCTTCAACTTTCAACCATCCCTTATGGGCATCAAATCCCTCAATGTAAGTTATTATTGATTTGTAAGTAAACAATGAACTCTGTCAGGAACAGGTCTATGTGTGATGATAAGCCAATTGTGATTTCAGGTTTCGATGCTAACTTGGGAAAAAATAGTTGTCATCTCTGATGGTTAGATGTTAACTCTTCATCTTATAGGTTAATTTTCCAAGAGATATGTTAACCTTTACATGAACATGTTAATTGTCGTGGGAACATGGTTAATTTTACACCCAGTTAGTTAACTTTTGTTGTACTATGTTACCTTTGGTCCTACTGCTGTTAACTTAAATTATCAGAAGATAATATAACATATTGTGCATGATATCTCACTGGTTGATTAATTTGTGCAGTAGTGATGCCTCTTTGAATGCAGAATATAGTCGTCCTCCTCCAGGAAATGCATCCAATTCAGAGAGAATCCAAAATGATTTCCCGTCTGGTGAGGTTGTAATGAGAGCTGATGATATTCTCAACAACACTTCCAGCATTCCTCAAT